ACATGTTTTAAAAAAATTTTAAATTCTGCTGCGTATAGCTCGTACGTTACAGGCGAACCCAACACGGGTGACAGTGTTCTTGTAGAACCGAGCATGCGCTCCAAGGATGGTAAATAAATGGCCCAAAGCTCTTCTCATCAAAGCTCCATAGTCAATCTCTTGGAATATGAGAGTGTATGTGGAGCATGCCGAGCTAAATGGAGCCTTCTCGACGGTGTGGAGGGATGGCTCAAGCGAGGGACTCTCGAATTCGGACCCAGGTCCATCAGGATATCACCCTCAATCTCTAGAAGCGCAACTTCCTTTTCTTTAGTCTCGCCCGCGTGAATCTGATAGACATTAATAAGGGGCTCATCGACTTGTGGTTTGCGGACTGGAAGTGTTCCATTATACCGTCAGGCTGCACCACCAATCGAGTGCATCCAACCTCAATCTCTGCCAGTTGAGTTGTTTGGGCCGACACACGAGCAAGAATGAGATCGAGTTTTTCATCAAATGTCAAAAGTGTCCTCCCGATTTTCTTTTTCATGGGGAAATCGAGGAAAGAATTGTAAACTCGGTCCTCCATAGCTCGAATGCGTTCTGCTAGGTTCTCGATTCTGGCCTCATGGTTTTTCCTTCGGGCTGCTTGGGAGGTCAAAATATAGAGAATCCGATCAAGCTTAGCATCGTACTCTGAGGAGTCCACAGGGGACTCATATGATTGCTCGAATGATAACGGATTCAACGGTTGCTCGTAAGGGAAGGCATATGTCTGGCCATAATCCCACGAACCGTAGCTCGGCCCATTATTCCAGTAGTGAGCGTATGAGGATGCGACTGGGTAGCGTGAGTTCATTGGGCTCTTTGGTCATATGCCCTGCACATAAGAAACGGAAAAACCACACGAAGCCGCGAAAAGGAAGGAAGAAAAAGGAAGAAAACTAAAACAAAAACAAAACGAAAAACAAAGATGCAAACAAAAAGAACACGGACACGAAAGACACAAAACAAGAGAAACACAGAAAATAAAATCAACACCAAAACCAAATATCCTACTTGCCTTCCCGGCAACAGCGCCAAATTTGTTGTGTGCAAATTGTTATTTTTACCGAGTACCGAATCGAAAGATTCGTTCCCCAGGTCGATCTCACGAGGAAGGCAGCTCGGAATCTAGGAATGGTGTTGATAGCACACAAAAGCAAATAAATCCTAAACATACTAATCAAGATGGATTGTTATAACTAACGACTACGAAATGCATAAAACATAAATCTACCTAAAATGCAAACTAAACAATGATTAAGAAGCTAGGGAGTCGGGATAATTAATTCAAGTTCTTTTAGCAAAACCGGGCATTTAATCGTTCGATTCGAAATTGACACTCTCTCCTAAACATCTAGCGGTCCGCTTCCAATAACTCTTCATAACAAGGGATTGAACATAGACGAGCAAATTCAAGCATTCAATACCGACCAATTATTCAATCCCAATAACTTTTTGTAACAAGGGAAGGTTCATCGACAAGAATGTATTCCAATCCAAAACCCATAGACTATTCAATGACGAGATCATCTATTTCATGCGAGCCTAGGTCTACGACTTCTCCTCTTTCGGTTCTAAAAGTCGCTAATTAAATTAGAAGGAGTTTAATCAACTAATCATTTAGAATCAACAACACTTTACTCGAAAGATCAATATTCAATTGTTTCCAATCACAAGATCGAAGAGTCACCCTTCGATTATATCAAACTATCAACAAGAATTAATCAACCCTACTTAAAGCAACTCGCACAAGAATGAACAAATTAAAGCCCAACAATAACGAATTTAAACAAGAACAATCGTCCCCTATCCCTAACAATCAGAATTAGCTACGTAAAGTAAACTCAACACAATCAATCACAACAACCCAAGCATTCATATTCATAGGTTAAATGAAAAGAAAACCTTACGATTGATAAAGAAATCCAATGTTGAATCCAAAGTATAAGCTTAATCTGAAAACAATGAAGAAATCCAAGTGAAAAACTAGATCAAGATAGTGTTTTTAGGGTAAGCGAAGGGGAAAAAACGAGTTTGGGGGATTCTTTTCGGTCTGGGAACGAGTCCCAATGCAAAGTACTCGAAAAAACGAACAAAATCAAGTTTATAAAAATCTAGTCGCGACCTCCGCGGACGTGGGGAGCTCCGAGGCCGCGGGATTTCAGCTTTAGAGGTGCTCCGTGGCCGCGGTGAATAAAACTGGGCTGCTGCGCACGGCTTTACGTTTCAGCCTCATTTGAACTCGTCCGAACTTGGAATTGAGTGTCGTTTTTTCCTACATGTCGCCAATGAACCCTTCTAGTCAATTATGCTTTCCCATCAAATATATTCCTGAAATCATAATCTCCCAAAGCTTATGAAATTCACACCAAAAACGTGTTTCACGCGACTTCGCGTTTTGGGCTCGTTTGAGCTCGTCCGACCTCGAAATTGAGTTTCCCTTCTTCCTATATGTAACCAACGAACCCGTCTACACAACCATGATTGTCCAGTCAATTTTCGGGCTAAATCTATTCCTCACGAGTATTCCAACTTGCACATAAAAAACGAAAAAAAACTAGAAAAACACACGAGGAACACAAGAAAGACCAAAATAGAGAAAACCACGAAATAAACTACAAAACGAACTAAAAATGAACTAAAAGACCTAATATAGGGGTAAAATAAGGCAAAATAACATGGAAAAACGCAACAAAAATGGGACAAACACGGTGCGTGAGGATTGTCCGCGATTTTTTCAGATTTATTTTGAATTTATTGATTGAGTTTTGTGTTTTTTTTAAGATTTTTTTTTTGATTGGCCAATATGATTTTTTTGTAAGTTTTTTACAAGTTTTGAGAAGTGTTATAAATTTTTTTGATTTTTTAATGTTTAAAAAATGAATTAAAAAATTGAATTTTTTTTTGTAATTTTTTAATAAGGGCAAAATAGTATTTTCGAAGCGCAGTATTTAGTAAAAATTGGTGCGGTAATAACAACACCCCTCTTTTAAGCACCCCACCGACGCCGTACGGTAGTCCGGCCTGTCCAAGTCCAACGTTTCTCCAGGAGAGATGAGGTTTTCTTTCGACCTTCAGGAACCCGACGGTCATCAATCTCCGACGCCTATTCCGTCGAATGCTCCGTCTCATTACCTTTCTGTCAAAGTTAAGGAACGAGACAGCCGTCAATCTCCGCCACCTTCACCGCCGAATTCAACTCCAAAAGCTGAGCTCCAATGGTTCCTGCTGCAAAACCACCCTCTCTTCTCGTCCTCAACCGCCGCCACAGCCTCTTGCTCCTCCGAAAGAGTACGTCCGAACCTCATGGCGTGGGATGGAGCATCTAGGCTTTACTTTTGGGATTTAGACAAGAAGTGCCTCCACAGGATTTCCATTCGACTGGGTGAGCCTGACCCGTCCTCCATTATCGCGGCGTACCCTTCTAAGGTATTTTTCAAATTTTTCCTAATGTAATTTTCTGATTCATTTTCTAATGCTATATGCGTGTCCTTTGTGTGAATGTGTGTGGTTGACACTCATGGACCTAAGCGTAATGCATTTAGGGTTTAAGAGAGGCTTATGAACTCGAAAAAATTCTAATGAGTACAGTATGAACGGCATGCTTTTAGCAAAGGGGTATAGAAAGTTATTGCTTATTGGTACTCATTTGCCTCTTCTGATGGGGATGAGTTACATTTTAAATGAATACTATAGTGATGCTATCATTTCAGTGGCTACCCAATTCCAAAATTCAACAATCCAATCAACGTTGTGTTTCTTTCAATGTTATAGAAAAATTTGGATGTGCTTTGCAGTTTGCCCGTACTTGTATTTCTCTCTTATAGGTTTTGCAAGCGGAAACACCATTGAAATTTGAGGTCAATAAGATTGCAATCAACGGAGATGGTTCAACTTTGCTCCTAGTTGGAATGGAAGGTCTGTGTATTATGTATCTCTATGGACATTCTTCCTCTGCAGAAAATACCATCATCTCTAAGTAAGTAAAACATTGTTCACAAGATCAATCTGCTTCTTTTATTTTTGAGGTAGCATACTTATTCAGGAAAGGTATGAACTTCCAAGGTTTATGCTTAGCTTCAAAGATGTTGATCCGTCTTTTACCTACTATTGTACTTTCCCCTTGTCTGTTTATTGGAATCCGAGCCTTGTTTTTGAGAGAAACTCTGCTTTTCTGATTACCTAGTTATCAGAAGAATTAACTAGTTTCCAGTTGAACACCTTTCTGTTAATCCTTTTTCACTTTTTCTATATCCAATTTTCCAGTCCAATTTTTAAATCATCAACCATTGCTACATGTTTTACTATAAAAGTTATTATTCATCTACTCACATATTTATAACTATCGGTCACTATTTTACTATTTCCCTATCAGATCACAACCAGGTACTACTCTTTGTATCACATCATTTCACGTTATAAAAGTAATACTTCTTCCACTAAATCTACTTTCTCCAAAATAAAAAATCCCAATGAAACAATATCCGACGCACCTTAAGTTCTTGATCAGTGACTGGCAATGAAACCAGTGTTTTGAACATATGTCGAGTTGCTGAGTTTGTTTATACTCATCTCTAGTTGTGAACTTTTTAATATTCATTTGATACTCTTGATTGCATGTTGACCCAAGAGAGCGTTTTGTGCTGCTCTTTTAGTTCCTTTCATACAGACTGTAAAAGAATTGCTATATCTTTTTCTTTTTCCAGGACAGTGTTGATTGGTACAGAAATTTACTTCAACAGAAATAACTTCATGCACATTCTCCAGATCTGTTGGCATCCTTACAGTCATACACACTTGGCAATCCTGTCCTCTGATTCTGTTTTCCGGTAATACATCATTTCTTGTTAGTTGAAGTTGTGTTGGGGGGATTCCACATGACATAATATTGCATTTACGCATCTCCAGTTTTGTGAAACGTGGACTTTGGTTGTTACTTTGATAAATTTTCTCATTTTTTTCTTCCCATTTTGGGTATGCATCTTTTAGTTGGCTTTGTATGAGAATAGTGTTTGCAAGGGTATAGATAACAAAAACTTATGCAATACATCATTCTTCTGAGGCGATAAAACAAACTAACACCTTTTTTGTTTTTTGTTTTTTGTTTTTTTCCCCGCATGCGCTCTTCTTTAGGAAGACAAGACAATCTAATTTTTAGAGTCTGTTTCAGCTATCCTTGTTCAGAGAACTAAGCTTCAGCTATGTACGTGCAATAGCCAATAAATGATTCAAAGCCTCATTTAGCATGTAGTGTTGATTTTTATGTGCTGATAAAAACGTCCACATCTATTTGATCTGGGTTTTGTTTGTTACAGCTTCTCATTCATATGAAAAGCCAACATGAAAAAAATTGATGGGCCTGTTGATTTGTTTGCAGAATCTTTGACTTGTCTACAGACCTAGAGCAACCTGAGCAGGAGTTTTATTTACAACCTGTAGAACCTAGCAGTTGCTGCAATGCGTCATCAATTTGTCCTGTTGATTTCGCATTTGGGGGAAATCATTTGTGGGAGAGATTCAGCGTAAGCGGATACTCTTGGTTCACTTGCCTAACCTTGAATAGTTTTATTTTTTTTTCCTTCTCGTGTAGTTCATACCGAAGAATGGTATTGTGAGAAAGATTCACGTAACTATTGGTTTATTTTCTCATTTTGTGAGCATTTTCATTGACAAAATAACTTGGTTTTTGTGAGACATGTATTACTATAAATTACATGGTGGCCAAGAATTTAATATATTACTGGTTTATGTTTCCATGGCGTATATTAGTTTTGTAGCTAAAGAATATCTCCCCTAAAATGTACTTGTATAATGTGTGAAGTGCATGCCACAAAGATGTTTCAAGTGGGGTGTCTCTCGTAACTTACCCAGCATGAGTACTTTTGATGTTCTTCAATATATTTTAACATGGAGAGTAGACACTGATAGTGCTGTTGTTCATTTTTCAGGTTTTTATCTTGTTTAGTGATGGATCTGTTTACATAATTTGCCCGGTTGTACCATTTGGAAGGTACATACGATTATCTTTTTTGCGTGGTGTGGTGACTTGAAAATCTAGTGGTGGTGGCAATACTGGACAAAAAGTCCTTCACTAAAACTTTTCCACAAAGTACTTTATTGAAAATTCTGCTTTTTAGATGCTTTCTGCTGTTCTGGTTTCTGAAAATGCGAAAATCTTATGCTGGAGTGATCCAGACTATTGTGATGATTAAACTGTTATCCTTAATTAAATATTAAACTGATATATTCTGATGTGTTTGTTTTGTGAAATTTATTGGAGTTCTGATTGTGCCCTCCTCTTTTAAACAGTGTCCATTTATGGGAATCAATTCTGGAAATTTATAATGATGCACACACGTACGGGCTAAAATCTGCCAATTCAGAATCTGTTGTAAATTCCAACATGGCAATCTCCTGGCTGGAGGCAACATTTCCTGAATTAATTCGTCAAGCTGGAGATGGTGCGAAATCATATGCAGTCAAAGCTCAGCCATTTGTTATCCTGGATGCATCTGTTTCATTGCAGGTACTTTTTCCTTCCTCTTCCCTTCAAGAGTCTTTTTTTACAGACTGGAATTGTTTGTGTATGTATATTGCTTGATGTATAGCTTCAACATGCCAATTGAATATTTCCTTTTTATTTTCTCACTTGTTTTAAATATCAGGGCCCTCTGCACAAAATATCTCATGGCACTCCTGAAGACTCCAGCGCCAGGACAGAGTTATGTGAGGGGCGTGCTCTAAGTCTACTCTGCAATATAATTGGCAAAGATTCAGTTCTTGTGACTGCCTACGCCGGTGGACAGCTGCAGCTGGATGCTCTGGCCGATGAAATCCATCCCATCTGGAAAACGGGCAACCCGCCCAGTCTCTGTGTTGACTCATCTAATCGGATACAACGAGCCGCCATGATTTGCGAATCCACACCCCACAATCACTCCAATCCTGAAAAAGACCACAAAACCCCCAACAGCACCGTCTGGTTGGGGCACCCGCCTCCTCTTCTGAGGCTGGCCATCGTCGATTTAGCTTTGCCCGGCAAAACTAAATATCCGATTTCTATGATTGCAGACCCCCTCGTCTCGGAACGGATCTTTTGCATTCATGCGGGAGGCATAGACTCTGTCGTGCTGCATTTTCTCCCATTCACTCACCAGAACAGCGAGAAGGAGAAGCAAATGCGGGCCCCGTCCGTGTTCACTGTTCTGAGCACGTGCCTGCCTTGCGGTTCGTTCTCGCCCATGCCTTCACCTCTTTGTGGTTTTGTTGCCGTGGCGGATTCGTATGGGAGCTCATGGATTTTGGGCTTGACGTGCTCTGGCGAGTGTGTGGTGCTTGAGATGGAGACTTGGAATGTGCTGCTAACGGATGTGATGGATAGGATTGTGGAGACGGCTGTTGAGAGTGACGTGAGAGAGGGGGAGACGGATGATATACCCACTATAATTAGCAAGGAGCTGCTCAGTGGCCCCCGGCCAGTTCTGCTGCCCCCGTCGGCCCCAAACTTGAGGTCGTTGAAGGGAGATTCGATCGAGGGGCGGTCGATGCTCCATCAATACTTCAAGTTGTTTCACGAGAATTATGTGGAGTATGCCCACAAGGTAGGAGGCGGACTTTTTTTCTTTTTTTTTTAACAAAAAAGTGAGTCATGTTTTTGAATTTTGGCACATGCTGTTTGAGATGGAGTGAAGTGTCACCATGTGCTCTCTTTCGTTATTGTTGCTGTGGATTGCAGAAGTCTCTTGGGATGTTATGTCAAATTATTCAATGTGTTGTGGCTTAGGAAATGGGAGTAGTTGGTGGCAAAAAGCTAGGACGTGTAGAACCTTGTAGCATATGAATTTGGATTCTGGAATAGTATTGACTCATTTTAGGCCGATGAGCAAGTTAAAATACCCTATACTCGAATCGAGATCAAACTATAAAGAATGATCAGGGGTCAAAATGCTTTTTGGTTATGAAGAACATAAGATAATTTAAACTCATGGGTTCTCTTTCTAATTTGAAATTTAGCTGGGTTTGTTACGTAACTAGGTCGAATTATGGCATATATTCTGTAATTATCTCTGAATTTGTATTTGTAAGACTATTCAAGCTTTTTTAGCTTGAATATCATCAAGTTCAGTTTGGTTTGATGAATGGATACAGTGCACTTAAATGTAACTCTTTAATGTTGATAAAATTTGAATCAACCTTTACAATGTCCACTGTCCACTTAGTCTACTATTTTCATTTATGTCCAATTAGACGTGTACACTTTCATGTATATATTGAATTATTGCCTACATCCATTGACATGCTTTCTGAATACAGATGAAATTTGTTTTTGCTGTTGTAGGTGTACTTTGAACTCCAGCATCATGGACCTCACTTGAAAAGAATAATTGATAACCAGAATTCTCGGTTACGGGAAATGCAACAGAAGCTTCTGGAAGTTGAAAGAAAACAGGAAAAGATAGACAATTGCATGGATCGAGCAATAAATTCTCACAATTCCATAGAAGAGCGCTTACTGAGGTTGCGGAGGCTGCCTGGAGCCCAGAAAAGACCACTTTCGAAAGCAGAGAGAGATTTCATGTCAGAACTGGGTAATGTTTTCTGGATTTATTATACAAGCTGCTATTCAAATGTCTTAAATCAATGGAGCTAAAATACTGGTTCATTTTTAAGAAATAAGACATGATCCATATCTACATGAGAAAAGAAAGCAGAACTAAGATTGCAATTTTTGTGCATAAGTTGATTTTCTTCCCAGTTTAAGTAATGCAGATCCTTAATTTGAACTTATCCCCCATTTTATTTGGTTTTTCATAATCTAATACTACTAATTAAGCAAAGTGGAGAAAATGCCTAGTGAGTTGGAAACCCATAAATGATAAATGTTAGAATCAGGACTGTTTTGTTACTGCTGTTTATTGTAGTATCTATAGGCTGAAAAGTAAAACAGTAGTACATGTAAGAGAGCCCATGAATATGCAGAGATTGTACATTTTGATAAGTACGCATTGTTATAAGAACTACCGGACTTGCTTCTCGGAAAATTTGTGAAAATATAATTTCCTCGTTATGTTTGCCTGCTATTTTTTACATCACTAGGAAGATGCACGTGCTACGCACGTAATATTAATCACTTTTTCTTTACTTAAAATTGTTTTTATTATTAAACTTACATTTAATAGTATAATATAATTTTCATTCTATTAGTTAATAAAAAATTGTCTATTTTATAATAATCAATAATAAATGTATTAAATAATGAAATATAATATTTAATACTTTTTACCAAACTGTGACATAAAATTAAATAAAAAATATTGGTTTGATAACGACTATTATCATTGTCATCATAATATAGTTTTTTAATGTCTTATTTTTGCGTTATGCTCTTTGAAAATAAGTCGAATATGTTATAACTATCATTTGTAGTTATAGTTTTTCTTATTGTTAATTGACAACTAACCAACTATGTTTGATTGTTTCATTCTCGACTATTTTCAACATAGTGCATAGTGGATACTGATCAAGTATAATATTTCATAATACTTAGATATATATTTTTATTTGGATAAAATGGCACAACAAATAAATAAATGTTTGAAAATGTCTTTAAAGTCGTGATTATTTCAAAAATAAAATTTAATTGAAAAAGATTAGAAACATTAACATCGATTAAATGTACCCATTTCTTTATATATATTGTCCAATATTGAATATTGGTTGATTGAAGGTACTCATCTCATATGTTGTCCAACATAAATTATTGTTGCATCTCCTAACATTACCATGCATGCATTACTATTTTTTGTTCACGAATTTT